AGTTCACCTCCATTTCCTCAGCCGGACATGGATCGCCTATCCTGGGCTACTTTCAATTTCTGCAGGGAATGAAGACTACGGCAGGGTTCCATCAGCTTAGGATCTGGGGGTATCAGTTCTAACAGTCCGGGACAGTCTTCTAGGTCTCCCAGCAGTCCCGGTGGTCCTGGCTAGTGTTGTGGGTCAGTCTTCTGAGTCTGCCAGTAGTCCTGGCGGTATTGACCAGCCTTCTGGGTTTGCTAGTGGTCCTGGTGGGCCAGGCCAGTTCTCCTCTCCTTGGCGGTGTAGCCGAGCCTCCCCCCTTTGGAGTCTGAACATGGCATCTGGCTTCCTCTGTGACTGAGCTCCTAGCTCCTAGCATTATACTTCTGGCCTCAACCCTCTGTTTCCTGTGGGCGGGACTGGGTTGCTTTGGCCTTGCCGACCGGGGTGTCTTGGGGAGTTCTCCTCCTTCCAGGCCAAGCTGCCTCACTACACTCCTAATCAAATATCCCCTGATGCAATCCGTCAGTGAGACATCATAAGACAGTCTGAACGAGGCAGGGTCACGTGCTAACGGCATGTGCACAGATACAGATAGATGAGTATGAAAGTAGGACATTCAGCTGTGTAGACTAACACCATCAAGACTCGGACCCTCCAAAGCAATGATCAATTGGAGAGCTCAGACAGACCTCAGAGCCTCTAGAGACAGGCAAATCCAAAGTCCTCATTTATAGTATTTCCCGAGATTTGTGGATGACTGAGGTTGTGCAGTATTGTACCTATGCTTTGCAAACACTCAAGTGTGTTGGGAGATGCATGGCTGAATCCACAATGAAGAATGAATGAAAATACAATGTACTTGACTTCTAGGTTCATATGCTTTGCTGTACACATTCCTCTATCCCCCTCGTCAGCATAGAGTCTGGTAGCTTTCCAATAGGGCCTCAGGGTATGTCTAGAATGCATCCCTCTGTCGGCAGAGGGATGCAGATTAGGCAGGCTGACATTGCAAATGAGGCAGGGATTTAAATATCCGGTGCCTACTTTGCATAAAAATGGCTGCCACGTTTTGCTGACTCATCACTTTGTTGGCAAAAAGCGGCAGACTAGAGGGGGAATCTGTCGAGAAAGAAAGCCTTTTTCGACAGATCCCTTATGCCTCCTGCAAGGAGTTTTATAGGACCTGTCGAAAAAGGCTTTCTTTCTCGACAGATCCCCCTCTAGATTGCCGCTTTTTGCTGGCAAAGTGCTGAGTCGGCAAAACACGGTGGCCATTTTTTATTTAAATGAGGCGCGGGATATTAAAATCCCTGCTTCATTTGCAACGTCGACCTGCCTAAACTGCATCCCTCTGCTCAGAGGAGCTTCACCTTTCACTCAAGGTGTCAGCCACCATCATTGTCTTGGTGCTTTAGGCCCCAATCAGTCCAGGTCAATAGTAACTGGGGGGGGGTACGTCTACATTGCGCAGCTCTTTTGGGATCCCGCAAGTATCCCGAAATAGCTATTCTGCCTCTATTGAAGCAGCCTGTTATTTCGAAATAGATTTTGAAATAACGATGGCTTATTCTGACGTCCCAGTACCCCTCATTCCCCGAGGGTTAAGGGGCATTTCAGAATAGTGAGTTATTTCGAAATTTGGTGCTATGTAGACAGCGCCAAATGATGAAATAAGCTGTTTCAAAATAACTCGAAATAAGCTACGCAAATTGTGTAGTTTATTTCAAGTGAAGGATGCTCTGCAGATGTCCCCTAAGGGTATGTCTACACTACATGGTACCGTCAACGGAGCCACGTAGATGAGCTTTGTAGACATAAAAAAATGAAGCAGTGATTTAAATAATCGCCGCTTCATTTACATCAAAATGGCTGCCGTGCTGTGCCGATCAGCTGTTTGTTGGTACAGCGCGGTAGTCGGGATGCTCAGTGGTCGACATCAAAAGCCTTTGTCGACTGCCCCGTCATGCCTCGTGGGATGAGGTTTACCGGGATAGTCGACAAAGGCTTTTGATGTCGACCGCTGAGTGTCCCGACTAGCGCGCTGAACTGACAAACAGCTGATCGGCACAGCACGGCAGCCATTTTGATGTAAATGAAGCGGCGATTATTTAAATCACTGCTTCATTTTGCTATGTCTACAAAGCTCATCTACATGGCTCCATCGACGGCACCATGTAGACGTACCCTAAGTGACTGATGACTGACTGCCTGTGTGAAATGGGGGGTGGACTCAGCGCCATGGTCAGAGTCCATTTTGTAGCTGAGGTTAAATGATACCTCTATGGGCAGTGAAGTCTTAATGGCTGTCTCCCAGCCCCACGCTACAGCTGACATTCTAGCTTTCTCACTGTCCCCATAGCTAATCAGGGAGGTGCCAATGGCAGCCCCACAGTTATGATTGATTTTCACGTAATGCAGAAGGAGTCCCCCTGTCCTTATAGATGAAAAAGAAAATCCATTTATCCACCTCAAAATTACGGAGCTTGCTCTTTAACAGATCTAAACGTGCTCCAAAATAAAAAGAAAAAAATCACTATGCCTTTCAAAACCAATTTCCATTAGAGCTGCTACTGTCTCAGTTTGCCCCAAATTGTCCCTTTTTAGGGGGAAGCTGTCCTGGGAAATCCTGTAAGTCTTCCCAGGACTTTTAAAGCACCATAAATAGGAAGGTCAGAGGACCACGACAACCCTATTTTTAGATGTGGGAGGGCCATGCCCCCCATTTTTAACCAAAAAAAGCATAAGCACAGAATTCATGATCCCCGCAGATTTTTTCCCCAGCAGAATAATAGATTGTCAGTGAGGTGCTGCAATTACATCTTTTGCCCACTGGTGATTACTGTGGCACTGCAAGAGAGGGCAGATGGCTCACCACCAGGGCACTCAGATGCAGAGAGGGAGGGGTCAGACTCACCTTGCCCTTCTCCCCAATTCTACAAATGTTCCAGCGTCCTTGCTTAAAAGTCCTGGGTTTTGTTCGTTATGTGATCTCTGGCTTCTCCACTCCCAATTGATCACAGCAAATGAACAGCTGAAGGCTTGGTGATTTCTGATTTCCACAACATTTTTTTTTAAAATACAGTGCTGTGAATACTGAGTGCACACGCGCACGCGCACACACACACACACACACACACACATACACACACACAGAGCGCTAACAAGAATTAGCAGCACTAATTTCCAAAATTCTCCACATATTCATATTCTTCTCTTTCTAGAAGAGGTTGCCAAGGTTTTTATTTTATTTTTAATTCCTCTGTCAAGTTTTAAATGCCAACAGATGAGAGAGGTTTATTTCCAGAATGTCATCTGCTTTAAAAAGACCTCTGTAGTCATAAACATGATTAGACATTGATGAGTAGAAAATGCAAACATAAAGCCAACATCTGACAATCTGATGTTTGTGTTTGGTAACAAACTGTCCACAGACCACACTTATGCCAAGTTGGGTATTTGTAGGCTATTAAACCACAAGTAAGCAGTATTTTGAGTTATTATCTTTCATAGTAGGTATGCATTGAATAGAGTGTTTGGAGATGTCAAACGAGTCCAAAATTGCTAAAGAAATCAAAAGCTCAGATAGTTACAATTAAACCTGTACAGAACAAGATGCCTCTTATTGAGACAACCTTCTGTCTTGAGAGATTGCTCTCAAAGTATCCCCAAACATGTTAAGTACAATTTACTGCACCCTCGCTAGGAAGCCATCTTTATGAAACAATTGATTTTCCTGGGTCCTTAGCTAGTTGTGACTCACTATTACTTCAGCCCTGAGTACATTTTTACAGAGAAATCATACATTTGAAAAGAGATTGAAAATGGAGCTGTTGAACGCAACACATTATGGCTATGTCTACATTACACTGTTCTTTCAGAAAAAGCTACGCAATTTGCATCACTTTTTCAGCTTCTTTTTTCAGAATAGGCTTTTCCGACATTTGGCCCATCTACACTGGGCCAAATGTCAGAAAAAAACCCTTTTTCGGTACATCCCTTCTTTCTTTCAAGGTTTGCACTTTTCAGAAGTGCTGAAAAAGCACATCTGCTCTTTCAGAAGAGCATATGCGTTCCCTGGACATGGCAGCATTTTTCTGGAATACCTCTGGTATCACAGGAAAACTCAGTAGTGTAGACATATAGCCTATGTGCCTAGGTTAAAACATTTTTAGGTCTGATCTTGCTTTTCCATGAAGTTCATGGAAATTTGGGCATTGTCTTCAGTAATCAATATTTGCGTGCTCAATCCCCAACAAAGCACATTTCTTCACTACTTTCAATACTAATTCCTTAGATGAGGAAAATGGATTTTTGAAAATGTTATTGACTTTGATCTTTTATATTTATACATTTTGCGCTACATTTAGCCAGGGGAGACAATGAAAACAGGTCAATTTCATCCCTAGGCTCTCTCGTCCTAAAACAATGGCATCCTTGGCTTGCAAGCATGGCCGGAATGTATGTCTTCTCCTTTCGATCCGATGTTGTACTGAAACTGAAAAATCTAGAAGTGTGTTCCGCTCTGCTTGGGAGTAGCCATCAGACCTTAAGGAGGGCTGGGAAGGATGCAAGAAGGGAATCGTGGTTTTTTGGGAAGGAATCATAGAATCATAGAATCATAGAATAATAGGACTGGAAGGGACCTCGAGAGGTCATCGAGTCCAGCCCCCCACCCTCAAGGCAGGATCAAGCTCCGTCTACACCATCCCTGAGTTAATTTAAAACGCCTTTTCAAACCTCCCACTACCTCCTGCTGAGGTTTTAGGTATGTCTTGATCGTAGGATGGATCTAAATGGGCAGTCCTGCTGACGCCAGCTGGAATCCAAACACGCACAGGGCTCTGCCTATGTGGATTTTATTGCAGGATCCAGGCCACAATTTATAAATGGCCTTGTGTTGCTTCTGGAAGAAAGGTGCTATGTAAGTGTCCCTGACTGCCAGTGCTAGTCCTGTCACAACCAGCGGGACTGGGAATCACGTGGAATTGTGTCTATTAATCTTTTCTTTGTTTTAGATTCACCAAGATGAAGACAGCCACCAACATTTACATCTTTAATCTTGCCCTGGCCGATACCCTGTGCCTGATTACCTTGCCCTTCCAGGGTACGGACACGTTCCTTGGGTTCTGGCCCTTTGGAAACGCCCTCTGCAAGATCGCCATCTCCATCGACTACTACAACATGTTCACCAGCACTTTCACCCTGACGATGATGAGCGTGGATCGCTACATTGCCATCTGCCACCCCATCAAAGCACTGGATATCCGCACCCCGCACAAGGCCAAAGTGGTCAACATCTGCATTTGGGCCTTGGCTTCAGTCTTTGGGATCCCAGCTATGGTGATGGGCTCAGCTGAGAATGAAAATAATGGTCAGTAAAAATGAATTACCAGGGGATAGTCTCCAAAGCAGATTCTGCATCCATGCAATATGTGTACAGGGTTCCAATGCCACTAGCCCATTAAGTCTGCTGTTGTGACATTCCTTCCATCATGGGCTTGCAAGCAGGTTTTGAACCATAACCTTCATCTCCACAATATAGATTTTTGTTAATTGAGATAAAGCAGTAGGTCCATTGGCTGGTTGCTATAGTAGGCTTTTATCCTCTGGTGATGTGAACGCTGCACGTGGATAGAGAAAATCATCCTTTCTTACCCCAGTTTGCAATCTGAAGCATGAGATTTGATTACCCCAATGTCTATTAATCAGTTCATATGCATGTGTTATCCTCATGCGTGCAAGAGTCCCTCATACAATTTTACAGTGAGAGTCCTTTTAAAAAAAGTGTTAATTATGTATGGATACGCTATGGTCACATTAATTCACTGGCAACTCAGCTGTTGGATCCTGAAAAATCAAAAAATGTAACCACCATCTCTAAGTAATCACTACTGATAGAGACTCCAGCCATGCATACACTACTCGCTAAATTGGCACTGCTGCGATTGATGCACTGGTGTCGATTAAGTGGGTCTGGTGAATACCCACTAAGTTGATGGAAGAGCACGCTCCCATCAAAGTTTGTAATCCATCTCCTGTGAGAAGGAGAAGCTATGTTGACGGAAGTGTGTGAACGCTGCTGTAAATTGACCTAAATTATGTTAATTTCAGTTATGTAACTTGTGTAACGGAACTAGTGCAACTTAGATCGACTTACAGCATCAGTGTAGATCAGGCCTCAGAAATGTAGCACCTTTAGCTCTGTCTTCCTGGCCAATTTCTTTAGAATCTTTCCATTTTTGGAAATTCTGAAAATCCTGCTGGTTCCTCCCATCTTAACCCCTCTTTCTCTGCAAGGTGTTCTATCCCAGCCCCTAATTTTCTATTTGAAGAGGGCTGTGGGATCCAGGATCCCTTCAAAGCCCATTGATTTTGCTGGTCAGTATTCACAAAAGCACTCAACCTTTGAAAAATCTTAGCAACCAGCAGTGGTCATGTCCACATTGTTGAAGCCATAACAATTCCTGAGCCAGGGAAGTTAATCCTGATCTTGGCACCCAGAACAGGGTTTTTTTTTCTATAAACAGAGAAATAAAACCATTAATCTGGCCCTTGCCTAGTTCCGTTTCAAGTAGTCTGATAACAACGACAAGAGCATGATCTTCTCAAATTTGCCTACAAGCCTCAAGGGACCAATGAGATTTTCTGACTGCTCGCCAAGCTCAACATGAGACCGAATACACTGAGTGGCCATGGTTTTAACTTTCACTTAATACCACGCTTAGCATGCAACACAATGTATCAGCACAATTTTTGGAATTAAGACGACGACTGTGCCATTAAGTGCCATGAATCATATTTCATGACCTTCTGGTGGATGAAGTCGGACCTATGACCTTGAATGGTCCCTTTAGAATGTGTGTCCATGGCTTATGCTCAGCTATCGAGTCAATCTCTTATCTGTCTGTGACACCGTAAGAACCTTTCCCAGACCTGAAGAAGAGTTCTGTCTAGCTCAAAAGCTTGTCCCTAACACCAATGCAACTTGGGCCAATAAAACATATTATCTCCACCTCTGTTTTCCCTCCCATCTTTTGTCTGCTTAGATTGTAAACTCATAGGGGCAGAGCTGACTCCTACTCTGTGTTTTGTACAGTGCCGAGCACAATGAGTCTCTGAGTTCTGTTGAGCACTGACGAAATAAAGGAAATAAGCCGCAAGAGTGATTGCAAGCGAATTATCAGATGTGCAGATGGTTCTCAATACACTTTGTTATTTCTTTTCTTTGCAGAGATTGATTGCCTAATTAAGCTGCCTACACCTGTGGATTACTGGGATCCAGTCTTTGGCGTTTGTGTCTTTCTCTTCTCCTTCATGATCCCTGTGTTGATCATCACCATTTGCTACAGCCTCATGATCCGGCGTCTTAAGAATGTCCGCGTCCTGTCGGGCTCCAAGGAGAAGGATCGGAACCTGCGCCGTATCACTCGAATGGTCTTGGTGGTGGTTGCTGTCTTCATTATTTGCTGGACCCCCATTCAGATTTTCGTGTTAGTCCAGTGCCTGGGCGCCAAGGCTGAGAGCGAGCTCGAGTTAGCCATCTCCTGCTTCTGCACTGCCCTGGGCTATGCCAACAGCAGCTTGAACCCTGTCCTCTATGCCTTCTTGGATGAGAACTTCAAGACATGCTTCAGAAAGTTCTGCTTCCCCACTGCCTTCAGAACGGAGCTCCAGATGTCCAACCGGATGTGCAGCATCGCAAAGGATGTGGTTTATGCCTGCAAGAACTCAGAGGGGACTAACAATCCCGCATGACTAGGCATGGAACTGCCCATGGTGCCTGTCAGCCAGCAAAGCCCAACGACCCCCACCTCGGAGCTAACTCAGATCACAGCTGTGTAACAGGAGCTTTCTGACCCAGCATTGGAGACTGGACTCCTCGGAGGCCATCTGGGGTCTGGGCAAATTAAAGAACTGCAAGAGCATGCAGATAAGTGAGCCATTTGACATCTTTCTAATTGCACCATTCTCCCAGTTAAGTACTATATTTCAACTTAACCCCCCCTGAAGTCTTATGAGCCACTAATGTCATGCACTTTGCATACGGTTCTAAAGAATTCAGGCATTCAAGAGTCAAACTCAGACTTCGCTCTTGAGGGTTCTTTTGCCGTCGAGGCTGGAAAGCAGACAGAATGCTAAACAACTTTCCTTGCCTGAGTTATTTCAGTGGATCATCAAATACTATGGGTTGCCATGTGCTGGGGTATGAATTTTATTCCAGCCACGTCTCTCTGAAATGAGGCTTCGCTGACGCCAAGGGGAGGAAGAGCAGTGAAACAAAACAAAGATCATTTCCAGAATTACTTATGATGGGTTGTTTGTGCGTGTGGGGGTGGGGAGAGTTTAGACACGCCAACCAGAGAAGAAAGAAGATTAGACAGCGACACTACACGGCTGGATAGCTCAACTCGCAGCCACTCCAGGGGAAGTGGGCAGCTAGCACTGAAGGAACGCACAAAATCAAATCCTACCCTGCAGAGGTGCAGGGCAGGGCATATTGAGGGGTGTGACAGGACTAAAAAATGACAACCAGCTCAGAAGGGGTGGAAGGTGAGACAAATCAAACCAATGTCAATTCAGAGGAAAGAGCTGCGATTGCTTTTTCTATATTTTCATTGTAACAATGGATTGCACTTTGTGTGTGGGTGTTTGTGTAGGTGTGTCTATGCTCTCATATCAATATAAATATAGAATTAATATTTCAACTTGCCAGACATTTCCCAGAGACAGTTCCCGATGGAGTCGAGATGAAAGGTGACATCGATGGAGCGGCTTAAGATGAGAAGACGTTTCTAGTTATTTATTGTGATGGCTGTCCTGAAGAAAGCCCTGCTATTTTGACAGCAAGACAGCTGAAAATGCACCAGGTTCTTCTGTTCTCCTCCCTCCTGCTCTCTGTAGTATGGACAAACAGTTCTATAAGCCGACTGGCTGAATGGGGTGGCAGACTGAATTCTGGAAGATGGAGCCTTCTGGGCATACTCCTCCAATCAGTTCATGGGTCCCACTGTTCAGTTGTGCATTGATTTTGTATCACAACAGACAGTGACCTAAGAACATAAGAACGGCTGTACTGGGTCAGACCAAAGGTCCATCTAGCCCAGTAGACTGTCTGCCGACAGTGGCCAGCACCAAGTGCCCTGGAGGGGGTGGACCGAAGATATCGATCAAGCGATTTGTCTCCTGCCATCCGTCTCCAGCCTCAAACAGAGGCTAGGGACATCAAGTGAAATCATCTGCCCTGTTGCGTCATTCAAAAATTAATAAATTAATTCTATATTTATGAGGAATAAACCACTCGGCTTTCCCTCCACGGTGCCTGTGAAAGTGGAACCTTTTCCTTCTGTAGCACTAGAGATCAGGAGACTCTTGGGAGGAGCAGGGAGAAGGCCAAAAGCTTCCTGACTGGCTGAAAGCAATGGGGCTTTTTTAAAAAGTTTGAGATGGGCAGTGGTAGGCTCCAAAGGAAAGAGGCAGCAATTCTTGCACTTCATCCCGATTGTACAGATTTCCGTGTGCTCTGTTCTGCAAAATGATGTATTTTTAATGTGTTGATATGCTGACATTTTGATGCTGCGCTGTTCTTTATATATGCTGGATGAGAACAGTGTTATCTTTCTATGTAAAATGTTTCTCTCTTGGCAAGGCTTGGAGTACAATTAAAATTCCTAAGTCACGCACCTAGGAACCAGACCAGTTGTAAACTATGTGAAATTGTGCATGGGCTAGGATCCAGAAGGAATCTCTAGCGTTTGTCATGGGATGTAAAGGGACTCAGTAGAAAACTTGAAATTATTATTTTCTGTTAAGAATTGAGGGGGGGGGAAACGACAGGCCCAGAAAGTATTTTGCAATGCTACTCCCCAAACAATTGCACTAGCAATGAGGGTTGATGTGATTACCCAGGATAAAATATGAAGCATGCAGAGGAGTAACACATTAAAACAACATATCTTAAAGCCATTGCTGGCAATTTACATTCATACCTTTGGAAGATAAAAGTAAGTTTTCTTTTGTGTTGTCTTTTTAATGCATGTAATAACAATACTACTATTCATTGAGGAATCTTGACTTTACGTAACCATTGGCCATCGCCTCCATTGACATGGTCACGTCTTGTACACAACGTGTAAAGAGATTGAAATGAATGCACAATCAGAAGTGTTATGCAAGGACCTAGCCAAAGGAGATTTTTGACAGCAGAGGGTTCAGTTAGTGCCTGATAAAAGGGTCCCAATGAACTCCTTTTATAGTTCTTGGTGGGATTATTAATTATTTTTACAGAGCTTTTTAAAGAACAACTCTGTGGTTCCTTCGATCATTTAAGATGACACACACAGATGTATGTATTTATGTTAAAAGTTAGGTGGCTTTTTTAAATAGAAATGCATTTGTTATCTTAGCCGATGCGCAACAATCCTACGGAAACAACGTACTCAGTAAATGTCTGCCTACTTAGCTTTTGGATGATTTGTGGCCTTTGCTGTGAGTGTGTTATGCGTTCTGATTGATGCTTGATGGAATTTACTCAAAGAAGAGCAACTCTGATGACTATAGAAGCTTTATGGTACGGTGCCTCTGGAAAGAAAGGACTGGCTGAAATGCAAGCTTGTTAGTTGTCTTCTGAAATGGTTGTGCTGGTATAATTGAGCTTATGACTATTGCAATATAAATGGCATTTTCCTGTGTGGTTACTCGTGCTTTAATAAAGGAAAATAAACTCCTGCACTTGGAACGATGTAGAATGTGATGGCTTAATTCTGCGACCTGCCTGGTTGATGCCACAGTGAAACTACTGGACTATTTGCACTTTAACACATCAGTTTATTTATAGGATAGTAGCCATTTGTGAGTCAATCCCAGTCAGTAATATTAATGCCCGTGGAAGTCAATGGGAGTTTTTTGATGCTGTCTTCACTTGACGCAAGGCAACCTAGATACAGCTAAAATAGAAATGATCAAAAATAGGCAGCAAGATGAGAATAGTCCAACTGCATTTGTTCCTTAAATTCATCAGGAAGAGACTGATCCAAAACCTGTTGAAGCCAACGGAAAGGATCTCATGAACCGGGATCTAGCCCATAGTGGGCAATTAGGGAAAGGATCCACCACTGCTGATCAGTCGATGGCCATGTTTTACGCCAAATAATCCCAGCTACTAAAATTTAGCCAACTTCTTCTGGCTCTTGTGCTGTTAAAAGTAGCCCTATTGTCACTGTCCTAGCTGCAGGAGGGAAGGTTAATATTTTGGAGGTGGGAAAGAAGGATCATTTGGTAGGACATGAAATAGAGCGCAGTGTCTGCTCTCAGAAATATGATCAATATTCTTCTCAAGCCAAGGAAATGCTGGGATTGGGGGGGGGGGG